TGGAATTGCCATCTTAATTGGAACAGAGGTCACCTTTCAAGTTATTTCAAGCACAGCTGACAAAGGAGGCAAGCCTTACACTGCTAGGTACATTAGGGCTGACCCCAGCCACCCTGCTTAACATTTCTGCACCGGATTCACGACAAGAACATCATTTTTAAAAGCTCCTTTGGATCTTGGCTTCCATGAGCGGTTTATTTTTGGAGTTGGTGATTTTAATTTAATCTTAATCATTTTGCCTTCTTCCTGCTAGAATGCTTGAGAGCAAAAGAACAGATCTTGATCCATTCACATGACATGTAGCATAACTTTCATAACAGCTGAAAATAGACGTTGCCTTTTTACTGTGTGGCCCTTATAGAATGATGTCAGTTTTGGCAGCCAATTTTATTTTTATGTGATTTTATTTACGGGAAAGAAAGTGCCCCTAGTGCTCTTGCTATAGTGTGCATGTATGTATAGCATACATTCGCATACATGGCACATTTATCTCCTAAAGTGTCCTCCTCCAGCAGTTGCTACTACTGCCTTCTTTTCACAGCCTTCTTTTGGATCAGAGTTTCTTGTCTTCTGCTTTGGCTGGCTATGGATGACAGAACTTGCTCATGAGCTACTTTGATCCAAGATTGTACATTGAGCAGTCAGTGTACAAACAGGTAAAATTGTTAGCACGCCAGAAAGCAGGTTTTATGGCAAAAGAGACATACAGAGTCCCTTCTGCTATAACACTTGCAGGAATGTATCAAAACTGGAGCAAGCAGTCTCTGTAGTAGTTGCCAACTGGTCCAGATTCTGCCTGCTGTTGCTTAGATACATTCCCCTCTACTATTCCCCACTGGAAGATTGGTCAAAGCAGTAGAAACTGCAGTTCAATGTCTCTAAATGCAAAATAGTGCTCTTAGGGAAAAATAATCTTCTAATAGAGTACAATATTGGGGGTACAGTGTTGGCCAGAACTACAGAGGAAATAGATTTGGAGGTGCCTATTTTATATGATTGCAAAATGAGCAAACAGTGTGGCTTGGCAGTGGGGAAGGTAAAAATACATTTAGGGGGCATCACTAGAGGTATCACCAACATGAAGAGGAAAGCCCTGATTCCCCTATATAGATCTTTAGTTAGACCTCATTTCGAACACTCTGTCAATTTCTGGTCGCATCACATATAGAGAGATATCGATAATATAGAATGAGTCTAGAGGCAACAAAAAAGGTTAGATGTCTGAAGGATAAAACATTTCAGAAGCGACTGCAGGAAATCTATTATTTACAATCTTGAGGAAAGTAGGCAAAGGGGGCACATAATTGAAACTTTTAAATACATTAAGTGTGTGAATAAGGTTCAGGAGTGCACTATTTTCAAAATGAAGCTTAGATCAAGAGCAGGGGCATGACCTCAAGCTAGCAGGAGGAAAGTTCAAAACTAAACTCAGAAAGTATTATTTTATCAAAAGAGTAGCTTGATGCCTGGAACAAACTTCCAGCAGACGTAGTGAGTCAGTCAACATTATGTGAATCTAAACATGCTTGGGGCAAAAATACATCTATACTCAGACAAAAAGGTTAAAAAAACCCAAAACAAATCTTAAAAGGGGCATACCATTTGGATCGACCATTTGGTCTTTTTCTGCCATCCATGTTTCTTACCATGCTTGGAGGCTTTCTCCTTGTTCAGTTTATAATTGGTAGAAGGATGGAGTATAACTTCACAAAACCAAAAAGTAAGAGAGATTGTTTTTACATCTTGAAATGGGTTCATTTAACCTAATTTGGTGATCCTGTAAGATTAGTTTAAGTCCCTTTTGTTTTCAAAGATCAGTATTTGGAATACTAGTGGTCCACAGACAGATTTCAGCAATTTTGCAGATCGGGTATACATCTGAAGGTAAGTGTAGGCCCCTAGAGAGCTTTTGGCTTATATTAGTTCTTTAGTAGTTTTATTCCAATGCCAGTTTTTTTAACAGGGTGCCTGTATGTATAGAACACATTTTCTTTTTTAAATGTATATCCCAAGCTTTGTAAACATTACCACTTGCCTTACTTTTTTGCTCCTGTACACCAGGAGCTCCTATTAAAGACCACGACCAGTGTAAATATTGTTTTGTGTATGCTCAGTGTGTCTGCATTAGCACAAAGAAGGCATCTGGTTCCTGGAGACTGAATCAGGCAGTTATGTGGGGCAAATCCCTCCATTGTTCCTCATTTCTCTCTGCAGTTACAATGTGTATGCAAGCAAGCTGAAAATAAACACTGCAATGTTTACATTGGCCTGGGCCTATGATGACATGTGTCAAAGCAAAAGGAAAGAAAAGGCAGGAGCAAGAGAGTACACATGAAAGTTGTCTTGTTCTCTCTGCATATATTTAAATGTCTAATGTTCTTTAAAAGAACAGTCATCCTTAAATTCTGCCAAACATGGACAAACCTGTGAGAAGAGTCGAGGTGCACCGAAATGAAAATTTAAAAACTGAAATGAAACCGAAAATGTTTTTTTCTAAGTTTTAAAAAAAATTCAAATATTTATGTATTTTTTTACAAACGTTTGAATTTTTTATATTTAATTTTTATTTCTTATAAAATATTTGTATTCACTTTTTTGTTGGGGGCTTCGGAGAAATATTAGGGGTCTAAAAAGACCCCTGATATTTCCCTTTTAAAATAGACAAAGGAGAATAAGAACACAGAGTCCTCAATCTCTTATTCTACAAGCCCTGTGTAATAAATGAACAGGAATCCTCTATACTGAGTATTCCTGTTCATTTACAACTTGTGGAGATAGTATGTTTACCATGTAGATCACCCCCCTTCATTCATCATTGAGGACACAGTAAACATACTCTGTCCTCCAATTATTTACAAACAGCAATCACTGAGTGCTTGTACTCGCCCTCCATCCTAGATCAGCTGTCACAGGAGACTGAGCAAGCGGTGCGGGGAGGAGATCTCGATCTGACAGCTGATCGGCCGACCTCCTGTGACAGCTGTCTCCGCCCACACACACGCCACTCTCCTGATCTGTCACAGGAGGCTGAGCGGTGCAGGGAGGAGAGACATCGCTGCTCACAGCGCTCTCCTCCTGCACCGCTCGGCCTCCTGTGGCAGTTTCCTCCCCGTTGGGACACCGAGCAGCGCCCGGCGGGAAGGAGAGATAGCAGATGCACCGAAATTTCAGGTCAAAATATCAGTGCAAAGCTAGAGAAAAGTCCAAGTATGACAGATGCGCCGGTATGAGCCTGCTGTTCGTCAATAACGTGACTATACGCAGTTCTGAATCGAACCAGCCGTCACAAGTACGTGGCGATACCACTCCGAGCCTCACCCTGCACAGAGATTTCCCAGCTCGTGGAACAACAATCTTAGGCCAGCAGACTCAGAGCGATCATCACTAGGGTTGGTTAACTCTGCAGTTAATCCTATACTCACAAAACAGTAGCTGGCACTACTGTTTACATTGCACCACACTACTGCACCACATGTTTTAACAGAAACACGCATCGTTCTCAGCAAATGCTGTGACAATTCAAAAACCTAAACAAAGCCTATGATACCACTGATCTTTCAGACAGGAATATGACAGGTTTCACTATACAGTAGCACTCTTCATGGAATACAAGGATACTTTTAAGTTCTTATTTAGAGAGTAGAGATACGCTTAATGATTTTTAAGATCATCCTTTAATAGAAGAAACAGTCTATACACATACAGCACAGCAATGACGTAATAAAATGAACTAGGATCACACTAATCCAGCACGTTATTAATCTCACGTGCCCCACTCAAGCGGCGGCCATATTGAGTGGACACGTGAGATTAATAACGTGCTATGGGATCGCCCGCGGCGGTATTGCATTCGGAAAACGCGCAATCTGCCTGCGGATGACTGGGGTGCCATTACAAAATAATGGCACTGACAGCACGATCGGCGGTTGTGTGCGATTCCGTGTGCGACCACCCAGCCATCCGCTCGGTTTTGTGCACGATGACCGGGCAGTCACAGATCGCACACCACTGACGATCGCGCTGTCAGTGCCAGTCGCCCCCCCGCTCTCGGCGCTCCACGCTCGTAGCGCCGCTCAAAGAAAGCCAGCCCTGCTACTTGTCTGTAGCAGGGCTAAAACAGTGCAAAAACCACTTGCCCGGCGCCCGGAACTACATGTCCCGGGCGATACAAATTCCACACCCCTGGGAACCTAAGGTCTGGAGTTATGAATTTGGTGGTAACCTCATTTTAAGGTGAATTGGAGTTCACCTGTGTTGTTATCCTAGCCAGACCCTCTTGTGTTTAACTAGAGCTAGCGAGTGCTTATTTATTAGTGATCTGCAATTTATGCTTGGTTGACTTTCATCAGGAGTAGCCCTAAAAAGGTTATGCCTGGTACCTCACTTAGGTAATTAGTGCTTCACTAAGGACTATAAAGACTACAGACCCAGTTTAGCAGGTATCTGTTTATGTTGCAATGTTGCGATGGCCTAAACAAAATTTAACCCATCGGTGTCGAGGCAGCCTGTTGTGATTCGAACTAAGAGTTTCAGCAAAATATTGTGAAGATGGAATGTTAAAATTAATATTCAGGTGCTATGACCTCATTACCGTCACACCAAGTACTCATCTTTTTTGCTCTCCCTGGGCTGCATATCCAGTCTGACTCCAATTATACTTCTCCAGAACTTTGCTTTGCTGGATGTATGATAATCTATGCCTGTATATCCATAGTGTTCCCATTATTTCTTGTTTGTAAGCCTATACAGTACTATGTTATTTCGTCTAATGCTCAAATTGCTCACTTCTCAGAAGTAAATGGGGTAGTGTATAGACAGTTTAAGAGGATAGTCACATACCTCAAATAGACCAATTTTTATGATATTTCAATGTTCTGCTTTCTCCACACTCAGCCTCCTACACAGGACACAGCAGCGGATAAATCTTAACTATTTCAGTCTATGCCCTGCTTTACTAAGGTGCAACTTGTAATTTAATTTTCTTATTCTACCCTGTGTAGCGGAAAGTTGTAAAGACACGCAGACTGTGAAGATTAAAGAAGAACCCATGGAGGTTGACATCCCTGACTCCTCCGTCTCCCCCAGACAAAACATTGGTTACAGCACTTTATTAAGGCAAGAAAAAAACGAGCACTTGCAGAAGATGCCAGAGTGCAGAGTTATTCCCGAGGGGAACCTCTTCAGCCAAGACATCTCTGTGAAGATGGCTTCAGAACTTCTCTTTAAATTGTCAGGTAATACGCCAATTTATAGCACGGCTTTTTAAATGTCAGACTCAAAAAAGACAGATGTATAATATTCCCAGTGACGTCTGGCAGCATGCCAATTCAGAATTTACCTCTTTGACGCGTAGCAGGTTCTATGGAGTCATCCACAGCGTTTGCCCCTCTGGCAGTGAGAGTTAATAAAAGTCTTTACATTCAACATTTTGTTAAGGTTAACATTTAAAGTTCTTGATGTAGGGAATACTTTCAGTATATGAACACACGGGTAAATTAATTTCCAGCTGATGATACAAAGCTCTTGAAGCTTTTTTTTTCCAAAAATGTTGGAATCAGTGACGTTTCATATACTTGTATTTCAGTACGGGGCTATGCAGTGGCACATGCAGGGCAAAGGAACAGGTTTGCTTAAAGTGGTATTAAAGCTCTAGGTTTTTGTTGTTTTTTTTTCCTCACTTGTCTTGTCAGATTTTTTTAATTATTGTAAAGTTCATTTAAATTAATTTCACATTTTACAAAATAATAGTGCAATTGCGAATAGTGTATTTTTTAAAGGGGAAGTAAAGGCAAAAATAAATACATAAAAGCAAGCCCCCCTGGAGCTTGTAGCCGTAATGTGCTAGTATGCACCACATATTAGCACATTATGGAAGATTTACAGTTGTTTCTGCCTTAAATGACTAGCAATATTTTTTTCTTTTGAAAGCTTTACTTCCGCTTTAAAGGAAACTTGTTACATTTTTTTTTACAGTAATCTACATTGATTATATCATAGTAGGCAGAAGATGTTTGAGTGCATCTATTAAACCTTTCTCCTTGCCCTACCTACTCATCTGACCTCTACTGCATTCTGTATGGAGATGTTTTCAAATTGAGTGATTAGTCATCCCCTCCTTTGCCAGCTCTCCTTCTGCAGGTTCCTGCTTGGTCTGATCACGTGAAAGAACACTGTTTGCTCAACCCCTCTCTTCTGATGCTGCTCTTTTGCTTATAAAGATTGCAAAGGAGAGTCGAGCAAGTTGCACACAGCAACATTTCAAAGGGTTCAAAGGCTCTCAGAGGAAGGTTTAAAAAAAAAAAAAACCCCTTGCAGATATCTTCATTTATAACAGGGAAAAGTCCTAAGCATGCTTTATATAATTAACATGCATTCAGCTATCTGATGCTGTACATGGAAGCAGCCACTATTTCTGCACAGATGCTTCAAATGATGTCTGTATAATGTTAATGCATTTGTTTTGTGCATGCCCTACTCTGTTAGTAATGGTTCATTTTTTAGCCCAGCTCTGCCCTCTGTGTTCAGTTTTATGTCATATATTGTGCAAGTGAAACAAACACTTCCAAAAAAATGGGAGAAGAATTAAGCAAATGAACAATCGTTTACACAGAAAAACACAAAGACACTCTTGTGCCAGATAAATGGACACTAAATAATGAAAGCGACTGGCATGTACAGTTTTCTATCTTTCATGTAAACATCGCTACATATGTGCCTCCCTTGTGTATTTAGTAATTGTAGCTTTGTATTCTCCTGCTCCACCTCTGCAAGCACACAAGCAAAGAACAGCCTAATGAACGTAAATGTTAAAATGTAACCAGTTTACAAGCAGTTTTATCCCTTTGGTCTTAAAGTGTACCTAAAAACAAAAATGTTATATATTGCAGCTTTCCAGTCCTTAGATGAGGTGACTGGGTTTTTTTCAGGTTCTTTTCCTTTTTTTTTTTTTGCCTGGTAAACTCTTCCTGTTCTAGGGTGGTTACGCTTACTCACTCCACTGTATCTATAGAGGGAGTCATGGTTCTCACCCAGGCTGGACTTCAATTATGTCTTCATCTCCATTACAGAGTTGTTAATGTGACTAGTAGTTGTCAGAAGGAAGATAACATTGTTTATACTTTCATTTCATTTCAACTCTCTGGATGTGACAAGGACACTACATTTCTGGCAAGATCAACAGGTATTTTCTGTGCTTGCCTGAAAAGTGAAGGACTAGTAAGCTGCAATATATTGTGTGTTGGAAGTGACATCAGAGGAAGGGGCAGCTCTAAGGGCTGAGCACCAGAGACAGTACTGGAAGTAGGATGCAGAATGTGTCTCCCCTCATGTTAAGCTCTGAAATAAATACCAGTTGAAATCAGCTCACCGTGTTACACCTACCCCTCTCCTTTAATGTCATAACATAGGGGGATCTATAGTTTACAGAGGTAACCTGGGCAGGCCTGATAAAAAGTCTTTGTGATTTCAGTGCAGCAGAAGCAATGTGTTGTGCGCTCACTACAGAAAGTTAGGAGCTGATTGGATTTCTGACAGGATCAACAGGTGTTTTTTACACCTATCCAACAGATAGAACTGTTTATATAGTCATCAGGCTTCACCTATCCCATTGTGTATGTAGGAAGATGTATATAGTTAATATGCTTCCACCTAGCCCATTGTATTATGGCAAAGTCTACTGTACATAGTTAAAGAAGAAGCGCAGGGATAGTTAAACGTACTCTCTCTGCCGCTTAGAGCCAGCGCGGCACACTGCAGTTATCACACTCTGGCTCTATACCAAGAGCTTAGCAGTCAGGTAACCAATGATCGCTTAGTTCACTCCCTCCCTGCGGTGAGCATTAACTGTCAGTTACCACTCACTGTAGGGATTTCCTCCCTTCCCTCTCTGTTCCTCCAGCGCTCATTGGAGGCACAGACAGGGGTGGGGGTGGGCACAGCTGGTTCTGGCTTTAGAGAGGCAGAGCCAGCTGTCAATCAGTCAGCCGAGTGGATCCTGACAATATTGTTGGGATCCTTCCTGGCTTCAGCAGATAGCGGGTGTTAGTAACAAAAGAGAAGTAAAACAAAAACAAAAAGTTTGGCTTTATCTCTCTTTACAGTCTTCCAGCCAGCCCACTGTGTTATGGTAAGGTCCATATAGCAACAGCCTTCCATCTTGCCCATTGTGCTGTGGTAAGGTCTATATAGTAAACAGCCCTCCATCAACCCAATTGTGTTATGGTGAGGTCTATATAGTAAACAGCCTTCCATCTTGCCCACTGTGTTATGGTAAGGTCTATATAGTAAACAGCCTTCCATTTACCCAATTGTGTTATGGTAAGGTCTATGTAGTAAACGACCTTCCATCTTGCCCATTGTGTTAAAGTCTGTTCAAAATTATCAGAACAAATGTGTTATTTTAACAGTTGCTTAAAGTAGCATTAAAGTTTGAGCGTTTTTTACCTTAATGTATTCTGTGCATTAAGGTAAAAACCGCCCAGTACCTTTGTCTCTAGGGGGGAGGATACTGATGGCAGAGGAGCCGTAGGCTCCTTCGGCCATCAATCAAACTGTTGGGCGGAGAGGAGGAGTGCGGTCTGCCGCAGGGCTGTGTGTGTCTATGGACGCACACAGCTACTGCAGGCACGAGCACGCAATGGTGCCTCCACAGCAGCTGCTTAGCTGATGGAGGCACCTGTGCAGGGGGCAGGGGAATGAACATTGCCGGACCAACTAGAAAACGTGAAACTAAAAAAAATGTAAGATTTATGCAAAGATGGACCGCCTAGGTGGAAAAAAAAACAAAATTTTAATATCACTTTAACAATGTCCCTTTCAGCTACCTTTATAGTCACATGCAGGTTGTGCTGTTTTTTCTAGCTGGCTTCTAGTTCTGGGTAAGATTTATCCAGACTGGGTTTACATAGTCTTTTCTGCTTTATGGATTGGATTGTTGTATGCCTGTATATAATGTAGAAAAGATGTTTGGTAAATGCGTTGTTCATTGCTGTTACTTTACTGTATTGTTTTCATGTGTTACAGAGAAAGTCAGCAAAGAACACAATCATAACAAGTCAAATATAATCAGGACAACCAGGTATTTATATATATTTTATTATGTTTTCGATAGCAGAAAATATTCAATGACTCCTTTCTCTTGCTCTTAACTTGTACTATAAGGCATATTTACAGCTTTCACTGTAGTGAATTTTAGGTGTGTTTTTAGATGTTTTAAGCTGACCATACACTATACAATCTTATTGTACATCTACTGTTAACTATGTAGGGGGGGCTGCCTGATATGACACAAATAGGTTTATTCGCAAAGCTAGCCAGAGGATCAGCCGTAGTTCCGGCTGATCCTTCAGCTAGCTTTGGCCGGAGCCCTTCGGTTCAGTAGAGCTCTCGACTGAGCCGAAGTGAAACCTGAAGCGGGGCGAGCGGCCGGCCATTGACCGGCCGAAAAGCCTTGCATCCGGCTGCTGGGCAGAGCCAGCCGTGATCTCATGGCTGGCTCCGCCCAGTTGCAATGACAGATCAGCGTTACCAGGGGACGCTGAACGGTCATTAAACAATGACAACTTGGCGGAGCCGGCCATGACGTCATGGCCGGCTCCGCACAGTTGTCATTCAGTGGCCTGGACCTGCTAGAAGACTCTAGCAGGTTCTGGCCAATAGGAAACAGTTGGGCGGAGCTAGCTGTCATTGCTAGCTCCCCCCAATTGTTTCTTTTTTTTGCAATAAACTTTATTTTTATTTTTTCAATAATCTTTAATTTTTTTATTTTGAAATCTGTATTTATTTTTTATCATTTATTTACATTTGTTAACATTTTTTTCTACCTTTTTTTTTTTTTTCTTCAACTTTTTTCACTGTTTTTCTATTCTGCTCGGTACCACGGTACCTAGTCACTCACTGCCGTTCAGCCCCTATGAGAATAGGCCGAACGGCAGCGAGTAGCCTTCGGCAGTTGTGTGAATAACCCTCACAGTAAATAAATTGTTTAGGTGTGTTTTACTTATTGCATAGTTTTGGTAAATCTAATGAAGATAGTAGAGATTGTATTGTGTATGGCCAGACTTGTATGCTTTTCCATTTATTCCTATGGAAGATGCTTTTTACTGGGAACCATATTAAGGATATTGCAAGCAGGGTTTTTTTAAACGAAACACAGCAAAAGGCAGAGGTGTGAATGTTTTTGGATGTGGGTTAGCAATACATGACCCTTTTTTCTTTAAAGAAACCTTCATGGAAAGAAATATGGAGGCTGCCATTATTGACCTCCTTCTGAAAAATGCTAGTTGTCTGGTTGACTTTGAAAACTTTGAGTTACAGATCAAGAGTACAGAGTTTCTAACTTCTTAGGCTGAATGTTTTCTTTCAGGTGAGTGACTTGAAGTATTGAAGTCAGAGACTGCCAGGTAACTCCAGTATTTTCAGAAGCAGGTTTGCAATCGCATCTATTGAATTACTATCATGACAAGGTTTCTTGTAACAGAGAGGCAACAAAATTGTGTACTTGGCTTTTCTTCACACCCTCTTGGCATGTGCTTTATGGCAGGGCTCAAAATTTCAAGTCCTGAGCTACTAGCCAGGCCTTAAGAGTTACTCACCACCAGTCGCCCCACCTGACCCCTACCGTGCCCCGCCCTAAACATGTCTGTGAATTTGGGTCCTGACCCATAGTTTAAGAAACTCTGGAATAGATGAGTACAAATGAGTGCTCAGCAAAGCATTTTTTTTCATTGAGTGCTGTGTTTTGGTAATAGTATGGCACCTGCCAGCCATTACGTTTTTAGTGTCTACTTTATTGGTTTTCAAGACTATGACAATCCCCCCCAACATGTGTAGCGTAATCATTGTTTTCCTACGTAGGCGCTCCCAACACGTGTTTACATAAAGACACATGGGGCAGGGGACTTAAAACATTTTTCATTATTTTTACATTTATTTTATTTCATTATTTTGAAACAGTTTTTTTTTAAACTTTACTTTAATTGCTATCACATAGGGGGGCTTACAAGCCCCCCATGTGATAGCATATTGGTGGTGACAGGTACTCTTTAAGGTGATACTGGGGGTTCAAAAGACCCCCTAGTGTGACCTTTCCACTCTAAATAAGCTATTGAAGTGCAGATCGCACTTCAGTAGCTTATTGCTGGGCTTCAGGAGCCCAGCAATGACAGCTCAGGGACTGGAAGTGATGCAATACGCTAGAGATGCTGGTCCCGGGCCAGCGTAGGGGCCCAGGAAACACGGCAGGGGGGGAAGATGGCCACTTTAGTGGTCCATAGAAGCGATCTGCCGGTAGCTGAGCCGCCAGAATCGCTTCTACTGCAAAGCTGGCTGCCGGCTCTACAAATAAGAACAGATTCCCGGAGGCTTTTAGTCTGTTTAACCCCTTGATGACCCATGACAGGATTATCCCATCATGGGTCGTGAAGGTGAAATGCCCATCATGCTCTGTGAAATAATTATTTGCCAATTTATATTTTTTACTTCGGCTCTACATCACAAGATTTTTTTATATGATGACCTAGGTGGACTTGCTATAGTTTGCTTTGCCAATTGTGTCAATAACATGTATTTAGATTAAACAAAAACTTTAATTTTCTGTAAGTACAACAGTCTTTGCACTAACATATTACAAAAACTTTAATTTTCTGTAAGTACAACAGTCTTTGCACTAACATATTACAAAAACTTTAATTTTCTGTAAGTACAACAGTCTTTGCACTAACATATTACAAAAACTTTAATTTTCTGTAAGTACAACAGTCTTTGCACTAATATATTTTTGTTTTTAGCCCATTTTTCTCAGAAGAAAAGTTTAGACAATCACCCTTCACCTCAAAAGAGCTCCCAAAAAATGACACTTCTCTTCAAGGACGACCATCTTTGTCAGGTACTGGATGAAAGGCAGTAGAATAGTTTACTGTTTGTACTGTATGTATTATATAAAACTATGTATATGGTATCAGAAAATGATTGTTAAAAGTAAGAAAATATTATTAAACTGTAAAACAAGATATTTTTCTTCCTCAATTTTATTATATTTACAGTTTTTTTTAAATGTATAGCACTGCAAGGACTTATGGACGCACAGCATTCACATGCCCCCCTCCCCCCCCTTCTCATTAGTCATCTCCCATTCACAACAGAGTCCACCCCTCAGATCATGAATGCTTCCTTTACATCAGAGTCTCTCCCTTCACATCAGGAGTCCCCCCTTTTCACCTCAGTTCCTCCCTTTCATCAGAGTTCCCCACCATTCACATCAGAGTCCATCCCCCAAGTAGACATTGAATTATTACACATAAAATGTACACTGCTACAAAGCCCTCTAAAGCTATTAAAATGATGGATCCCTATGTTCAGTTTTTTTTTACATTTAGTCTGGCTAATTGTCTGATAGTGTCTCAGATAGTGAGCACGGTAAGAAAAGTCAAGGAGGTGTGACCAGAAAGGAAGCATTCACATTAACACAGACAAGCACCCTGTAAGTGTGCGTACGTGCAGAAACCTGCGCCGGGAGGGACAGCTGGTGTGTAACCACGTGCATCCATCTGTTCAACTCAATGACAGGATACAGCTGCATGTAGCTACAATCCAACCCGAACTTGCATAGCCGTACAGGTACGGATGCATGCCCTTAGCTGCAGACAGTCTGCAATGCAAGCGAAATGCATCTGAAAGCACGCTGCATTTGTCCATCAATACTAGTCTTTATACCAGGCAGCACAGACTGGCTCAACTAGTGATTGACAATTAAATGGATCTAGGCATCCTGCCAGCATTTCCGCCATATGAATACAAATATATAAACTGCTGATGGTAGTTTTCTTTGAGCCCTCTGATTTTGCAATTGAAAGCTGGTTCAGGGCTAATGTTGATGCGCGTTGTTTTCCTGCGTTTAGAACATACCTCAATTGCAGGTCAGCAAAATATCAATGACTTTAAAGTGACACTAAACTCGAGTTAATTCTTAAAAATGCATTCAAGTACCTTAACTATTAACAATAATGTATGTTATTTGTGTATCAGTAGGCTGTAAATCCTCAAATCATCTCTGAATTCATGATGACACTGTCCTTCCTTCTGGAGCGTGGCTACTTTTCTTCCCCCTGGTCCTTGTGTATGTTGTACAGTAGCCACTGCTCCAAGCTCACTCCTGTGATGGACTACAACCTCAATACAAATTAGTAAACTAAACATGAAATTGTAATATATCACAGGAGTGAGTTCGGAGAGGTGGCTACTTTACAACACACACAGGGAGCATGGGGAACAAAAGTAGGCACCCTCCAGAAGGAAGGACAGTGTCAGCATGAAGTCAGGAATGATTTGAAGAACAGCTGAGTGATACACAAATAATATACAGTTTAGTTAATAGTTCGGGCACTTAAATTAATTTTTAAGATTTAACTCCTGAGTTTAGTGTCATTTTAACTGAGCAGAACATATGACAGTTTAGTGGTTGTGTTTGACCTGCTTTGCGTTGTACTTCTTTAGATGCAATGTTTCCTATTAAGGTGCGTCTGAACTGCAGGCAAAGCTAGTCAAATGCAGCCAAACACTGTGTTTTCCATTTGAATGCAGCTGCATGCGTTTGAATTGAAAATGCAGTGTTTGTCTAGGACATCTGTTGACATGAATGACTGACATAAAAGTACATTGAATCCGTTACCCTTTTCGCTGCCTGTCCCTGTGCTCCACTTTTAACCTCTGATGGCCAGACTATTTTTGCAAAAAAAAATTTTTTTCCCACTTAGTTTTCAGAGTTTGTAGAAGACCCCTCAGAACCATCATACATTTTCTGAAGGCACAAGATAAATAAAATAAAAAGATGGTGCTGTTGATTTGTAGGTGCCATGATGGTTAATAGAATGTTTTTCAAACTGATATTTTCGCTAAAAATACTCCTAAGATCATTATTAGCACACACAAACACAAGACAATTTACAAAAATCCTACTAAATCTAAAAGTCTAAACTGTATTGAGTTAAAAAAAATAGCAAATTTTGTAAAAAAACACAAAACATTAAATAAGGCGACTTAAAGTGTATTTCCACTTTTGCAGCCAAATTGGGATAACACTTATTACATATTTGTTTCATGTCCGCATTTACATAGGATACGCTAGAAAACTTTTTTTTAAAATGCCTCTTGCAGTTTAAAGTGCTTTTACTTGAGTTGAGGGTTTATTGGCTTCTTAAGTGTTATAATTTTTACTTTGCTTCTTCTTCTTTATAATGTTAGGAGGGACTGTGAGGGCTGAAGGGTTTCCATTGTATGTTAATGAGAAAAACACAATCCAAAAATGTCAATCCTTAGTCTACTTTAAAAACAACCCATTTCTGACCTCTGTAGCTGCTATGATGTAATTCATCCTCAAAGTTAACAGCAGAAACATTTTCACTTTCAGCAGCTTAGCTCATTCTTCCCCCATCCCAGCAGCGAATTAGCAACCAGGCAGCCTTTTCATTTCTAATGTAAACATAGCAATGGCACGGGAAGAGGGAGCAGAGTTTAGAGACACTTTCCTGTTTCTATTTGAGAATGAATTGCTTCACAGTTTCTGCAGCTAGAGAAGTCAATAAGGGTTTTCTTAAAGCTCGTTTACTGCTTGAGAATATATAAAAAATAATTGCCTGAAGCCTGACCACGGTTTCACTCAAAAGCTAGTATGCTCCCCTGTAGCAAAATTTACTTCTTGTACTGTAGGTGTTTTGTATAACTGGCCACCAGTCTCTGATATTAACGCTATGAAATGCTTGACCACTCCAACATGATTTTTTTTTCAGTTTCAAGATGTTTGGGGGTTTCATTGCATGGACGGCCTGTTTAAAACCCCTCTACCACAGCATTTCAATGAGATTAAATTTAGGGCTTTGGGTAGGGCAGTTCATAACCCTCCATTTTTTCTAGGGATACACCAAAATTTCAGCCGCCAAAACATATTGACTGAAAATGGTACTTTGGGCAAAATGCACTGCCCTGCTCAGCAAGGAAATCAGGATGGAGTACAAGTGCTTGTAGATAATTGAGGACATAGTATGTTTACTGTGTCCCCAATTATGAATGAACAGGAAGCGCTCTGCATCACTTCCCGTTCATTCATGATTCGCTGACATAGTAACTCATACTATAGCCACAATTTATGTATGGGCAGGAGCACTCAGTATAATAGATGCTTCCTCTTCATTCATAACACAGGCTGCAGAAAAAGAGATTGAGGACTCTGTGTCCTCAATCTCTTTTTCTATTGCAAAAAGGAAATATCAGGGGTCTGTTTAGACCCCTGATATTTCCCCAGAGCCCCCGACAGTAAAGTAAAACAAAATAAATACAAATAAGATATTAAAAAAATAATTTTAAAAAGGTTAGAAAAAAAAAATTATGTTTCCACCTGACAAATGTTTTATTTTAGTTTTCAGTCTGAAAATTCCATGTTGGTGCACCTCTAATTTTTTCTTGATGAATCATTCTTTGGTGGATTTTTTTTACATCATTATCATATTGAAAGATAAATTATGGTTCAACTTCAAGTTTTGGAAAAATGGCCTCACACTCTCATCAAGCATACTTAAATATGTTGACTTGATAGCTGCAAGCTGGCCAGACCCTGAAGCAACAAACAAAACCAAACCATAACTTTACCACCATGATGCTTCATAGTTGCTATGAGGTTGTTTTCTGAAATGCTGTCTTCAGTTTTCACCCTACATCTACAGTTACTGCGGCTGAACAACTCTGTGAGTAGTGAGTGTACAGCTTGTATATAAGTGTACATTTGCTGTCCCCTCAAAATAACTCCACACACAGCCATTAATGTCTAAACCGCTGGCAACAAAAGTGAGTACACCCCTAAGTGAAAACATCCAAATTGCGCCCAATTAGCCATTTTCCCTTCCCAATGTCATGTGACTCGTTAGTGTTACAAGGTCTCAGGTGTGAATGGGAGAAGGTGTGTTAAATTTGGTGTTATCGCTCTCACTCTCTCATACTGGTCACTGGAAGTTCAACATGGCACCTCATGGCAAAGAACTCTCTGCGGATCTGAAAAAAAGAATTGTTGCTCTACATAAAGATGGCCTAGGCTAGAAGAAGATTACCAAGATCCTGAAACTGAGCTGCAGCACGGTGGCCAAGACTATACAGCGGTTTAACTGGACAGGTTCCACTCATAACAGGCCTCGCCATGGTCGCCCAAAGTAGCTGAATGCACGTGCTCAGCGTCATATCCAGAGGTGTCTTTGGGAAATAGAAGTATGAGTGCTGCCAGCATTGCTGCAGAGGTTGTAGGGGTGGGGGGTCAGCCTGTCAGTGCTCAGACCATATACCGCACACTGCTTCAAATTAGTCTGCATGGCTGTCGTCCCAGAAGGAAGCCTCTTCTAAAGATGATGCACGAGAAAGCCCACAAAGAGTTTGCTGAAGACAAGCAGACTAAGGACATGGATTACTGGAACCATGTCCTGTGGTCTGATGAAACCAAGATACACTTATTTGGTTCAGTTGGTGTCAAGCGTGTGTGGCGGCAACCGGGTGAGGAGTACAAAGAGAAGTGTGTATTGCCAACAGTCAAGCATCGTGGTGGGAGTGTCATGGTCTGGGGCTGCATGAGTGCTGCCGGCACTGGGGAGCTACAGTTGATTGAGGGAACCATGAATGCCAACATGTACTGTGACATACTGAAGCAGAGCATGATCCCCTCCCTTCGGAGATTGGGCCAAAGGGCAGTATTCCAACATAACAACCCCAAACACACCTCCAAGACGACCACTGCCTTGCTAAAGAAGCTGAGGGTAAAGGTGATGGACTGGCCAAGCATATCTCCAGACCTAAACCCTATTGAGCATCTGTGGGGCATCCTCAAACGGAAGGTGGAGGAGCGCAAGGTCT